CAACTGTGTAAATCAAGCACACATTAAGACAACGTACGTAGGTTTATACATAGTACAACTCAAGTTGCAAGAAAGTTGCATGCGACAGTTTTAGGCAAAATTTGTGCAGTGTAAATCGGTCTTAAGAATGTTCATGTTTCACGACTAGTTAATATACAAAGTTGTTTTAGCTGATGAAATTGAACAAAGAGTTTAGGTTGGAAGAGGAGGTTAAACATCAATGTCTTCTAGACTTTCTATATGGATAATTAGCAAGTTTGAGAAGTCACATTTAAATATTAGTGTGTTTTAACTTTTACGGGTTCTCAATTTGCACTTGAACCTGTAATCTGCGAGCAAAGTAATTAGCAGACATGCAGGTTTTCGTTTCAGTATGATTCGGGATGATTGACACTCTGAAGGCAAACTGTTGTCTGCAAAAAGTTTGAAAAAAAGCTTTTAACCACTGGATCTCCTTAAGATTAGACGATCTGATCAGCTCATTGTTCAAGAAATGGTTTTGACCAGAAAGGTTAAGTAATTACTAACGTATTTTGCGGGCCTGATTATGAGTTTCCCCCTGGAATAATCATTTACTTACAGTCGATTTCACGAAACTTTGACCACAAATGTTCCGAACTTCGTTGCGAAGTTCGCAAGTTCGTTGCGAAGTTCGGAAGCTCATATTGGAATTCACAAGCCAAATTGTAAACAAAGTCCCTGATTGGTCCGTGAAGTAAAAGAAGCCAAATCAAATGCGTACTTTACGAACTGGTTTGTGAATCTCATTATGAACTTTTGAACTTCGCAACAATCTTGTGAACTTCGCAACGAAGATCGGGAAATTTGTGGTCAAAGTTTCGTGAAATCGACTATAAAGATGATAAAGTAACCACATTAACAAGACGACATGAATCTGAACAATTCTACATGGCATGAAAACTTTATTATATGTAGAAAGCTGTGGATTGAGAGGGACTCAGCTACCTGAAAAAGATAAGTGAAAATTCGACGTTTTGAGCGAGAAGACCTGTCGTCGTAGACCTAAAAATGTAGGACGGAAAAAATCTGATCAGAAAATTTATCGGGTATTATCAATCGTATGAATTCAGTGTTGTAAATACTCGTTACAAAAGTAACGCGTTACTAATTACTTTTTGAGTAATTTTTGCACTAATGAATTACCTGTTCTGCCAAAGTAATTTGTAACGTCATTAATTATTTTTTGCCGTTAAGGAGTAAAGTTCTTAAGGAGTGACTTCGCGTTATTTCTCAATTTTATTGCACCATTAATTCCGGTTTTAACGTATATTATTATTAAACAATTATTGAATTCGGTTCTCGTACAGACGGTACCGTTTTGGCCTTATGGGCCTCATCAGTGTAGTGCTGATGAGCAGGATGAAAGTAACTGCTATTTACAGTTACCTTTGATGCCTCACGATTGTGGGACATCAAAACCATGCCAGAGC